GTTTCTTTACCATCAGTTTCCTCTTATTTCCCATCATCTCTCTTCCCTTCCCTTCCCCGTTCATTTTCCAATTTCCATGCATTGTGTCCTTGACTTTACTCCCCTTTCCGTGATGTAGCCGCAGGTAAAACGTTCCGTTCTGTGTTTTCTACTTTTTCATTTCAACCTCTGTGATTATCCATTATCGTCTATGCATAAACAAAGACAAAGGTCCCCCGTATAGCTTGTAACAGACTGTTGGGGCAAGTGCTGTTTGCGAGCACCGATGAAGACCGGCACTGTGGTACACGAAGGGGTGTGTGGCCAGCACCATGCCCGACCGCCTTTGTCTCCCCAGTGCCGATGTTTACACACTGCACCAGGTACTCATTTGAGGCTGAGTTGACCTAGGGAAGGCCCAGGACAGGTTCAAATAATTGTCACCGGTGTTGGCCATGAGCGGGAATCGAACTCGTGTTGCCGGGTTCGTAAGCGCAGCGCGCTAACCGCTATCCTACCGCTCTCCGCATATACACACACAGCACGCGTGTGTTTGCGTGTGTGTACACGTATGCGATACTGTATGTGTATGCGTGCGGTGGATTAAAACATTGCCACTAGGGAGACAAAGGCGGTCGGGCGTGGTACTGGCCACCCACCCCCTCGTGTACCGTTCCAGCCTTCATAGGTGCTCGCTAACAGCACTTGCCCCTACAGTATGTTAAGGCTATACGGGGGATCTTTGTATGTGTGGCATTTAGGGCACTGCAATATGAACTGGGTGACCCGAGTTCGATCCCTTGCCGGGTTCAAGTGGCCACTCATGGGGATGAAACGCGAGCTGCCCAAACCATACCCCATTTAATTTCAGCTGCTTAGGATTCCAGATGCCATACTAAAACTGCAGTGCAATATGATTTAGGGCCAGGCTAGGGTGACAAATAATGATGTCACTTGAAAAGAAATCTCGGAAAAAACCTCGCCGAGTCTCAAGACTCTTTTTTTTGTCTTCAAGAGGCCCCTACAGCTTGGGGATGTTTGGCCAGTGTCGTCGTGAAAATAATGACGGTTTTGCTTCGCGTGTGAGGTAATCGGAGTAGCTTGAAAAGAACCTACCATGTATACGTGTGAGGGGATAGCCCTTGAATGTCTGTGCAGATGGGCTCAAACCACCTGCTGCATTGCCATCACTTGGCTACAGAGAGCTGCACTGTCTCATCTTTTAAGTAATCCATTACGCTACTTATGAATCCATTGAATTACCCGACTAATCCGATAAGGACATTCAATAAAAACAACTTTTCTAAATGAATCACATCCTTTCCCACGTGTGCCGCTCGATGAGAGGTGACGAGCGGGCCTTGGTTACGTCATCCAACGTCATCACCTGCGTGATGCTTGGCGTGGCTTGTCAGGGAGGTTTCCAGCCTTCGGGAGGGAAAGCTAGCGTGGCGGACAAAATTTGAAAGTGGCCTGAATATACAAACCACGAAAAACAGTAGTCGATTACAAATCTAAGCCAATTAATGGAGCAATTTTCTCAGCTGGGATATGTTTTGTTTGGGAGTTTTGCAAATCTGTGCGAGCTGCCAATCCTTGCCTCTAACGTGCTTGATCGTAGCACTTTCTTTCCTAACTTGCTTGGCTGTTGGTAATATACAGAAATCTATTTTGACCTATACCCCATTTCACGGATAAAATGTGCCTTGCTACAAATCTTATCTTTTATAGATGTATATTTATATAAATGAAGTTCTATATTCATAATGTATACTGCAATGTTGTTTACATTTTAGTTTATTGTTATTTGTCGTTTGTTGTTTAGCTGTTTGTATTGATATCGGATGTATGATGTTGGCGTTTATATTCACTACGGGTTTCAAATTCACAGCAGTACGAGAATCGAAGTCACGTTTGTGGCACGGGAGTTGGACTAAGTTTAACGTTGCGTTCGTGAATCCAGCGAGAGAGTTTGTGTCGGCGTGAAAGAAGCAAGGCTCGCGAGGCCAAAGCAAGCAAAACTTAGAGCCCCTTCGTCACAGCCGTTTCATTTACTTCCTTTAAATCAAACACTTATTGTAACATGACATTACCGTGAGTCGTTCAAAACCTTGACGGCACAATACCAGAGCTGTCAACCGTGCCAATTCTCTCGTACGTACGTCGTCTTCCAATGGAGTGTTTACGTACGGATTACACGCGTGCTCTCGCGCGCCTGTACACGCACACGCACGCGAGCTCGCAAACAACATCCAATGCGACACCCGGAGCCAGAGGAAACTCCCGACCGCCGCCAACTCTCGCCTGCTCGTCACCGTCAATTAGCCGCGCGGACCCCGTGCCTGCGGCTGCAAGGGAGGGAAGAACAATGTGCAGCATTCCAAGGGGGTCGCAGGTCAAACTTTCGGAAAAAAGCCGAGCAGGAAGGGCTGCTCGTTTGACACGGAGGCCTCAGCCGCGTCCCGTGGGGATCGAGGAGGGGCCCGTGGTTGTGGGGAAACGGCGATGCTGGGATGCACGGGGGAAGTTGAGGCCACCGGCAGGATTTGTGGTTCGCAGAGGGATTTGTGGTTCGCAGAGAGAGAGAGAGAGAGACTGTGTAGCGGCATTGTTTTGATATTTTTTTCGTGAACACTTTTCGTCTGTCTGTCATGACTCTCGGGGGCGGGGATGGGCGGCAATATGAATTTAATTTTTAGTATAACGTTGTGTCGCTGTTAGGGACTTACTGACCAAATAGTTGCCCGCACCCTCCCTGGCGGAGCCGATATCCGAGCCCCGCTGTCTGAGAGCAGCCGAGGGACATCCTACTCCCAGCGCGCCTGGCATGAGCACTACTGTTATTATTGCAAATGGAATACTTCCGAGGACAAACACATGTTGAAAAACGTGACACAGAATTCATGTGTATGCAAGCTTTTTCTTCGTCACCTAGATCTGGTCATGTACTAGCTCGTTTCGTGGACAATTGTAAAATGTGAGGGCTTATAACTTGTGATCGCGATAATGGCTTCACCGTTCTGGCAAATTGCCGGATGATGCTGGATGTAATTACCAGCGAAACGTCGTACTCAAAAATTGTAAATGATGTGGATTCACTCTTCAACACACCGGTGGGCTAAAGTAGTGAACTATTTTGTCTTTTGTCAAAGTGAATTTTACTGATTGGCCGTGTCGGATGGTGGAGGGTTACGACACATTTATAAATAACGCGATCTAACCCAAAAACGTTTATTATGAATTGTAAAATGTGATCGCGATAATGACTTTATGCAGAAGTTAACAGCGGTTTTGAGCATTCACCGCAGAAATGAATATTCTCCACGTCAGGGCCTATGTTAATGAAATGTCGACGCTGAACTGCTGACCGAAGGGCTCTGTCAGGGATTAATCTTAGGTACACAGCATAGTGGTACAGGATGCCGGGCAACATTTAGAAAGTGGGATCCCAGTAAACACGGGCACGTTGGGCAAGCGGTGGCCACACATTGCCATGTTTACTGGCAAGATGGTCAGCTGACATTTTTCCGTGTTCATTTGTTGAACTCGGTGTGAGCCTCCAATTTATTATTGCTCTCAATTTTCTTGCAAATTGATTTTGACTCGATTTTCCTTATTTGCCTTTATTGTCCCAGTCACGGCTGCTTGCTAGAGACTTTAAACCTTGAACACGAATTGCCCCTATCATTACAAGGCATTTGACGATTAATTGATTCATCGTTGAATATGGATTTTTGGACGTCAATACTGAATGGAATCGTGCGTGTTAGAGTCAATTGTAATTCTGATTCATCCAAATGGCGCGTTAATTTTGCGTTTTGGCTATTGGAGTGAAAATTGTTTCAAATGAGCGCTCTGGTTTGTCGCATCGCGTGCTGTTCCGCACGATGTCCGACGTTTTTCTCACTTTCTGCTGGCAGCTTCTTCGGGAACCTAATCGTTTAAATTGAGTTCCGAACATGGTAGTTTCAGTTCGGTTCCTCAATCCTCGAGAAGCCAGTACATGGAGTCATTCAAAATTCGAGGCTGCACGTTGTTAACGGTCAGGGATTCATTTATTACTAGAAGGTAGATGGGGGTGGATGCGGCATGGATACCATGCAGGGGAAATTTCGAAGTGTCCGGGGAATGTCGCCGCCACGTTCCAACGACAATACACACTAAGGCACAACGCGATACAACTAACAACAAATGCTTTACGAGTGCCGCACAAACGCGAGGCATGTACATTTGATGCCTCTGTGTATTGTGGCCTTAGGAATATGCGATGTGCGGGGGGGGGGGGAAAGGGCGCAGGCACCAGTGGTTTTGAATGGGGGAGGGCCGTCTAACCAAAAAGGTTGAGAGCTACTGATTTGTAGCTCTCTAAACGCCCCCCACCCACCCCCCCACATCATCCGAGAGTTGCCTGTTGCTCACCCATCCAGGATTCAATCTCCCACTCGGCATTTTCCGGAACGCCGCTGGGCTGGCTTGGAGTAGTTGAGGGGATTATTTTGGCATACGGCACTGTCACGAGAGTACTAGGTCTCGCCTGTCCATAAGAATTCCATGTTATTGTACCCCTGTATTCCTGCACACCGGCACAGTATCACAGGGACAAAATAATGCGAGACGAACTTGGCATTCCGAAATTATTCCCGGAACCGCCGGAACAATGATTCCGGACTGTTCCGGCTGGAATGATGCATGGCGCGCATCATCACTATCGGAATAATTTCCCAGACAGTATGAGAACCATTTGTAAGATTGAATATTATTTTTTTCTTAATGATAATTGTTTTCGTATGTTCTTCATCTATTTTTTAACTGGACGTTCTTATATATCTGTCATTGTTGCTACGGCGAAAAGTAAAGAAATATCTGAAGTCTGCGTTCTCCGGCGGCTGCCTGGCCCACAAAAGCGGCCAGTGCCTTCTCCTCGACCCAATCCCGGCCCAGCCCGGCTCAAACAACTGAGGCCACCGAGCTCACCCCGCCAATGTCCGCGTCCCCGCGCTTGTGTTTCTGTGCCGACGCAGGCGATGGTGGCGTGCTACCCGGGCCGCGGGACCGGGTACGTGCGGCACGTGGACAACCCCAATGGGGACGGCCGCTGCATCACGTGCATCTACTACCTGAACAAGAACTGGAACACGGAGGTGCGTCTGCGGCGCGTCGGCCGGCCCGGCCGGACGCACGGTTGCTGCTTCTTGCAGAGGGTTCGCGATTCGGATCCGGCAGGCCGCTCCGGTCATTACTCCGGGCGTATTGATACTAATCTAAACTATATTCTTGGTTCTTTCGGTAAAGTCACGTAGAAGGGAAACAATAAAATAATAAAAATATAAAACAATAAAATTCTCACGACGTTTCGACTGCAACACAAGCAATCATCGTCAGGTGTGAAAACCACAGCTTTTTTTCTAATTTTCTTGCTGTGGTTTTCACACCTGATGATGATTGCTTGTGTTGCAGTCGAATCGTCGTGAGAATTTTATTGCTTTATATTTTTATTATTTTATTGTTTCCCTTCTATGTGACTTCACCGAAAGAACCAAAAATATGAATCCCTGCAGTCACGAAAGCTTTAAATCAAAATTTAATCTAAACTATTTTATTTTTTCATCAGGTAAGGCCCACTAAGCTACTTAGCTACTTTTCAGAAGCCAACGAAGTGGCTTATTGTGTGGAAATTTATAAGCAGCCAAATACTCTAAATGCACGTTTTTAAATGTGGAGGGAAAAACCGGAGGGCCCGAAGAAAAATCCACACGACCACAGGGAGAACACGCAAATTCTAAATATACCGGGGTAGGAATCGAACCCATGGCCTCCTGTATACCAGGCGAGGTAGTTAACATCTTGCCACGGTGGTGTGTTGACCGCACATATAAGCGATGACTGCTTCACAGGGGGCATAAAAGTTATCTTGTGATTATAAAGCTTTTGTGTTTTTTTCACTTGCAGTATGGTAAGTAGGCTGCTCATTCATCTGTCATTTAAGGCGCGTGAATTACAGCGCCAGCGGTGCCCATTCGAAACGAATTTAGTAAATTTAGGAATTTATTAGTAAAACGTTCAATTATTCAACTTCTTGATGAAAAAAGAATAGGCTTTACCCTTTCCGATAATACAGGTGTTAAGATGTTCAAACACCAAATAGACACCGATTTGATACCGGCAAAAAGCATCTCATAAATACTCAACTTATTCAAAAACATGTTGATTCGAGTGAGGGGTGTTATTTCTACCACTTCTCCATGGCAACACAGCCAGAGAGAGGCTTTTGTGGGGGCAAGCAACGCCGCGCTCGCTCGCCATCGCGCTCGTGTCGAAACCAAGTGCCCCTCTCTGCCTGCCTCGCGGGGCTGCCCTTCTCACGATCGTCGTCACTCCTCTCCCGTCTCTCCCCCCTGATCTTCGGTTAGGTCTCTCACTCGCGCACAACATTCACAAACTGTTACAACTCGGGGACGTTCTGCACGAACGGGCCGGCGGCGTGCCGGTGGCGTATGCTGACGCACTCGCGCGGCACTGTGCTGCCATGTTGACGCTCGCTGCCCTGGGCCGTCGCGTCCCTGTTCTTTGACGCTGTGTGCTTCACATCTAACGAATCTTTCACCTCCGATTAGCGCGGTTGGCTACGTACTGTGCAAAAGAAGTTCAACGTAATGCATACTTGTACACACTGTACAGTTGTAAATGTCTGTCTGCGTACGTGTAATCACGTGTTTTGATATGAAAATTTCAAGTATTTTTTTTTTTCAAATACATTTTTATTGTAAAAAGAATGCAGGCCCGTTACAGCACGTTGGACAGCGTACACAACCAGCTAATATCGTTCGCGAGAAAACAATCGAAATGCGACTAAGCTATTTTAGAGAAGGGGAACATTTTTTTTATATTTTAAAAAATTTAGCATTTTATATTAAAATAAGTCATGCCCCCCCCCGCCCCCCCCTTCCCTCTCCGGCTGCAGGAGAAGGGTGGCCTTCTGCGGATTTTCCCCGAGGGCAAGGCGCAGCATGCTGACGTTGCGCCCACGTTCGACCGCCTCCTTCTCTTCTGGTCCGACCGACGGAACCCCCACGAAGTGCAGCCGGCGTTCGACACCCGGTAAGGTTGGCGGGATGGTTCACTTCATCGCGCGCTTTGAGATACGCTTCTGGAGCGATGCACTGTTAAATCTAGATTGAAAACTCATCCCTTTAGAACTGCTTGTTGTTGTGTTTAGTTTGTTGTCCTTCCCCCCGCACCTCCAATTATCACGGTTGGCTACGTACAGTGCGAAAGGAGTTCAGCATACAGTGAGGGAAAAAAGTATTTGATCCCCTGCTGGTTTTGTACGTTTGCCCACTGACAAAGAAATAATCAGTCTATAATTTTAATGGTAAGTTTATTTGAACAGTGAGAGACAGAATAACAACAAGAAAATCCAGAAAACGCATGTCAAAAATGTTATAAATTGATTTGCTTTTTAATGAGGGAAATAAGTATTTGACCCCCTCTCAATCAGAAAGATTCCTGGCTCCCACACTCTTAAAGGGAGTGCTCCTAATCTCAGCTTGTTACCTGTATAAAAGACACCTGTCCACAGAAGCAATCAATCAATCAGATTCCAAACTCTCCACCATGGCCAAGACCAAAGAACTCTCCAAGGATGTCAGGGACAAGATTGTAGACCTACACAAGGCTGGAATGGGCTACAAGACCATTTCCAAGCAGCTTGGTGAGAAGGTGACAACAGTTGGTGCGATTATTCGCAAATGGAAGAAACACAAAAGAACTGTCAATCTCCCTCGGCCTGAGGCTCCATGCAAGATCTCACCTCGTGGAGTTGCAATGATCATGAGAACGGTGAGGAATCAGCCCAGAACTACACCGGAGGATCTTGTCAATGATCTCAAGGCAGCTCGGACCATAGTCACCAAGAAAACAATTGGTAACACACTATGCCGTGAAGGACTGAAATCCTGCAGCGCCCGCAAGGTCCCCCTGCTCAAGAAAGCACATATACATGCCCGTCTGAAGTTTGCCAATGAACATCTGAATGATTCAGAGGACAACTGGGTGAAAGTGTTGTGGTCAGATGAGACCAAAATGGAGCTCTTTGGCATCGACTCAACTCGCCGTGTTTGGAGGAGGAGGAATGCTGCCTATGACCCCAAGAACACCATCCCCACCGTCAAACATGGAGGTGGAAACATTATGCTTTGGGGTGTTTTTCTGCTAAGGGGACAGGACAACTTCACCGCATCAAAGGGACGATGGACGGGGCCATGTACCGTCAAATCTTGGGTGAGAACCTCCTTCCCTCAGCCAGGGCATTGAAAATGGGTCGTGGATGGGTATTCCAGCATGACAATGACCCAAAACACACGGCCAAGGCAACAAAGGAGTGGATCAAGAAGAAGCACATTAAGGTCCTGGAGTGGCCTAGCCAGTCTCCAGACCTTAATCCCATATAAAATCTGTGGAGGAAGCTGAAGGTTCGAGTTGCCAAACGTCAGCCTCGAAACCTTAATTACTTGGAGAAGATCTGCTAAGAGGAGTGGGACAAAATCCCTCCTGAGATGTGTGCAAACTTGGTGGCCAACTACAAGAAACGTTTGACCTCTGTGATTGCCAACAAGGGTTTTGCCACCAAGTACTAAGTCATGTTTTGCAGAGGGGTCAAATACTTATTTCCCTCATTAAAATGCAAATCAATTTATAACATTTTTGACATGCGTTTTTCTGGATTTTGTTGTTGTTATTCTGTCTCTCACTGTTCAAATAAACCTACCATAAATTATGAACTGATTATTTCTTTGTCAATGGGCAAACGTACAAAATCAGCAGGGGATCAAATTATTTTTTCCCTCACTTACTACATACATCTTTACAAGGATTTTGGTGCCTCCACCGCTCTGTTATGGACGGACGGACAATGCCGATGCTGTCGAACTTAGTTGGATGTAACTTGTGTACGTACGTGCGTGTGTGCATTTAAGGGTTTAATGGTGGGCTCACACTTGCCTCGTTGTCGCTGCGATATTTTATTTTTTACCAGATACGCGATCACCGTGTGGTATTTTGATGCGGAGGAGCGGGCCCGTGCCAAAGAGAAATACCTCACTGGTAACCATCCCGTCGACAACGAACCACAACCATCGCTGGCATTACACCGACACACACACACACACGCACACCGTCGCACCAATTGCGCATCAAAAAATAAACGACTATGGAGAAGGGCCATGGCCCTGTGGACACAACCCTTGGGCCTCCGTGCTCACCTCCACTGGCAAACTCGAGGCAGTGAAATAAATTCCACAAGGAAATTGCACACTAAGTTTTACTGGTGTTAAAATATAATCCGACCTTCATTCCATGTCCCCACGAATAAATAAAGCGTATGTTTAGTTCATCAGCCTCGTGGCTTTCCCAGACAGACGCCCTCTCAAGCAGCATTTGCTCAAGCAAGCAAACCCTGGATTGGTTTTGAGCTTCTGGAACTAAACAAAAGTGGCTGGATTACCGGATATTATTGGCAAGGGTTCTCCACAAAAAGCTATATGCAACCCTCGTTCAAGGCAAAATCAAAACTGTAGAGTTTAGCAGTGTGATGTACAGTCGTTTATCAATCCACTGCTGGATGAAGGCCTCTCCAAGCCGCTGCCATATCTCGCAATCCTCCAACGTAATAACAATCCACCAGCACAACGATTGTCATCCCTTTTGGACCGGCAGTGTCTCATCAGTTCCGATTTCATTGCTCCAACTCCTGTCTGGGCATGGGCGTCCTTTCGGACGCATTGCATTACTTCCTCACATTAATCACTATATTTGGGACCTGCTTATAGTCCCATTGACAACCAGTGGTAGGCCGGGGGCTAAAGTGCTGGGGTGCAGGTTGCAAAAAATACCACCAGTCACAGATTGACGGCGCTTTGGGTTCTGCAATAAGCATCGTGTTTAATAGCAGATTACCACAGCCAATAAATATTCCTCGCGAGCCAAAATAAACACAGACTCGGAACTTTGAGACGTCGCTCTGTTAGCAAAGAGGTAAACATGGACTTTACCACCGCTATCGGCGTTCATCATGGGCATTACTTCCCCCCTCCCCTCACTGGATGGCACTACCGGCAATTAAAATACCATGGCAATGATTCGGGCCCACGGTCAGACGAGCAAGCATGACCACGGTGTGTCGCACGTAGCGTGTGACACAGTGTAAACTAAATATTTTTTTACCACTGCCATGACTGCGACGGGAGCACTAAGTGATTAAAAGTAAAAAAAATAGAACTTGCAAAAGACATTTTTGTTTAGTGTGGGTGATTGTTAGCGATTTTACGTTTGCTTGTCTTGGTATTTCTATTTGATTTTTTTTTTTTATATGTTGGTGATCCAAGTTACTCTTGCAATTGAGACTCCTCCTGCTCTCTTGTGTTCTTACCCTGGTCAAAACAAAATGAACATGGAACTCAACCAGTGCCGAGATCATCAAATTCGCTGCACTCCAACACAGTTTCATCACGGGCATGTCAAAATCCAGATCCAAACCCGGGACGTCAGCGGTAGAAGTTGGAACGATTTACCCACCAATGCCCCCACCACCACCGCCACCTCCCCCACCCTCCCAACATATTCGATGTAACGTTGCGGTGGATGGTAGTGACTTTTAGTGGCTGCATGGTGAGTCCCATTATACACAATGTATACACTGATTTTGAAAAATCAGTTGTTGCTTATGCAATTCGATACCAATCAATGAATCGATGTGTCCTTCCTACCCCTACTCAGCTGTGCTGTCTGATTGCTCCGACACAGTCATTGTGAGCTGCCTGACAGACGGGAGGGGAGCCCCCCACGCCCACTCTGCAACGGTCGTTTTTCCAACGTTTTTTTATCGCACGATGTTGCCCACAGCTGCCGGAGAGAAGGGAGTCCGGGTCACGCTGAACGAGCCACAGCCACAGACGTAACGAGACGCTCGTCCTCTAGGCCGCCCCACCGCTCGTCCGCCCGCCCGCCCGCCCGCTCGGCCACCCTCCTACGCTGCACTCTGTGACTTCACCAGCCAGCAGCCTGATGACCCATCATCGTTATCCCTGGTTTCGAAAAATGCGACAATCGGATGTTCATGAGCCAAACGCCTCTGATTTCTGCCGAGTGTGAGCAGGGCACGATGGCCGATGCTCTGTGTTTGGCAGAGGCCCGAGAGGTGATACGCGAGGATGTTATCGAGGCCTGCTGGGACACCGTGGCCTCACAGCAGACGATCAGACTGCTCGGCAGTCCGTGTAGTAGTTTATTTTTATTTTCTAAACTCTCACCCAGTAACCGTGAATATCTCAGCCTCAATGCAATGCCTCTGAACGCGGTCCCTGTGGTTCCCTCACTTGCGTTGACGCCCGCTGTGTTTACTGGAGTAGGGTGGCGGGACCGACTGTATTGACTGCGGGACCCGCGTGCGGTAACTACGCGAAGCCTCTCGTGTACGCTCTCATCTCCTGCATCTTGAATCTGCCGCCCCTCTCTGAGTCTTTCCCCCCAGTTCCCCCCAGCACTTTGCCCCCCCCCCCACCCCCTCCGAGGAGTTGTGGGTAATTTGGAAGATTTACCAACTCCTTGCCACACTAGGGGCGAGGACTTGGGAGTGAGAAAGAAAAAAACAACTCGCGCTAATCATGACTCCGATGCGTGGCGAAAAGCATGGAAAATTCCCCCGCGGGTCAGTGTTTGCTCGAATACCATTTTTTTTGTGCTGCTCCGAGCCAGCCGGCAGCAGCCTCAGCCTCGGCCAATCGGCTGCGAGTTTTTAGCGTGGAGTGCGGGACGTGTTTTTTTTTTGCGCTGTAGAAGCGTTCGCGTATGGTGCGGCGGGGAACGGTGACGTGTTTTCCGCGCCGTCTGCCTTTGGTGCTGTGGCGTAGCGTGCTCCAGTGGAGGAAGGGGGTCGTCAAAGGTCGGCGAAGGTGGCGGTGAAAACCATGAATATTCACGGTTTCGGTTGCAATAATTGCAAGGCGACGTGACGGACTGCCGTCAAGGAATTGATTCGCCATTTCACCTAATACTCTCAAAGAGACTGCCATTTGTAATCTTGTTTACCCAAAAGATATGAAATTTACAAAGGGTAATTTTGATAAAAGGGATATTAAAGATAGGCATAGCCTCACACTTATTACTGTATGTACATTTAAATTAATTTCAAAAACGATAGCCCTTACAATTGATGCACTTACTCCGTCGTGATTAGTGCTTAAACTTGAGCCTTCGTAATATGCCAAATGGTTTTTGGATGGCGAGTGTTTGAGATGAACCTGGGATTGGTGGGATTACGCGCACGTGACGGCCATTGTGATGATGTACGAGACCCACAGACAGCAACGAGGTAGCGTCAGTAGCCATGCAGAGATGGGCAGTATCTAAAGTACAAATTATATGTAATTTAGATATACGTAATTCGATAACTTTTGTAATAGGTATCCAAATTAAAACCTCAAGTAATTGGTCATTTGGATGTAAATGCGTGTAATTTAACGGTGTTAATTTCATTATATTAGTCATTTGTTATCTATATTACACATCCGAAAAAAATAATTAGGTAAATTGCGTCTATATTACACAAGACGCTGTTAATTAGTAATTTGTGTCAGAATTGCACTTCCTCCGATGTTACGTAATTTTAATTAATTTTACCCATCTCTGCGAGGTTATTAGGAGAGTCGTACAGCATAGTAGGGTTTTAATTTGTCAGGTTCTGTATTGATGGGGGAGGGGGGGGGCAGTTATGTTTTATGCATAGGTATTCTCAAGGCAATCCAATTTCTCCTTGCACATGAAACAAATATATATGTAACATTAAAAAAATAAATCAGCCAAACATCTCAAATTTTGACCCTGGACCTGATGGAGGGTTGTTGTAAGCTTTCGCGTAATAATAATTATGACGTCGCTAATTGATTTTATAACTGAATAAGTTTTCGATTTCACGTCGCCGTTTACAGTTTTATTTTCGAAGTTCGTCCGTCTTGTCACTTTTATATACGCGATGATTGTTTATTTTTTTCTCCTTTGCAAAAAAGCGACCGCGAAATTTTACCTTCAGGTTTTTGTGTGTGTGTGTTGTTTAAGGAGCATAACGTACACGCGCTTCCGACAATTACTGGGAATTTTGGAGCACGCAGAAAATCGCGAAATGTAACACTCGGATCGATTTGCCCAGTTGCTCGCACAAGGTATGGAATTGAGACGACCGGGATGAGGGGCCAGAGGTGTCCGGTGGGGGGGGGGGGGGATAAAAAAAATTAAGATCGCGCAAACAACGAGTGCGCAGATGCGAAGCGTTTCTCAGTGCTTGTCGATGAGTTGTGTTAGGTTTGACCCCACAACTGGAGTGATTTCAGGTTCTTTTCTTTTCCTGCGGTAGACTGTGCGATTTGTGACCGCTACGATTTTCAGCTCTGATTGCATTTTACTGTGCCCGTTTTAAGTGTACAGCCTCTTGGTTCCCGGGCGTGTACATAGCACGCGCGTGTGTGCACGTGTGTCTGTGTGTTCGCGTGTGTCTGTGTGTGTCTGTTCGCGTGTGTCTGTGTGTTCGCGTGTGTCTGTGTGTTCGCGTGTATGGTGTTGGCCACCCCCACCCCCTCGTGTGCCGTTCCGGCCTTCATAGTTGCTCGCTAACAGCATTTGCCCCAACAATCTATTAAGGCTATACGGGGGGGGGGGGGGTCTTTGTGTATATATGTGGCGATTATCTGAACCGGTCCTGGGCATCCCCTTGGTCAACTCAGCCTCAAATGAGTACCTGGTGGCGCTGCATGTAAACATCGCCACTGGGGAGACAAAGACGGCCGGGCGTGGTGCTGGCCACCCAACACCCCCGTGTGCCGTGCCGGCCTTCATAAGTGCTCGCTAACAGCACTCGCTCCCAACAGTCTGTTCAGGCTACACGGGTGGGGGGGGATTTTTTTGTCTTGTTTGTGTGTGTATATATGCAGGTGTAATTGCAAACTTACCAATGCATGGATCTGCGTACGGTTGTGGTCGTACGCGTAAAACGATGCGCCCAGTCGCTGCCACAACACCGCGTCGCGCGTGCGGACGAGGAGCGAATAGCTCGCAACGGCGCGCGCGCGCGCACATTCACGCGCGCGACCACAGCATCAGATCATCGGCATACCATAACAATTAATGGCAAGTATGTGTGGGCGAGCACGACTTGTACCGCTCGGTTTTACAATCATTTGTGGACACAGACTTGTACACGCCCGTCTTCACATGTGTACACACGCGCCTCGACACTCACGGGCATTGGTAGCTACACACACACGTACTAGTACCACACACACACGTGCATACACTAGTACCACACACACTAGTACCACACACACGTACGCGCGTGAACCACATACACCTGTAGACTCGCACACGTAAATACTAACGTTTGTATAGGACACACAAACTTGTGCCACGTACATGCGCACGCAATATCACTGTGCTCAATAACAGCCATCAATTCGCCACGAAGTGGCGGTGATGTCCCCACAGCGCTTATCCCAGCCTAGGTGCACTTGGAGGCCATGGGAAGTGTCAAAAAGGCTAACGCTCTTTAGAGGAGGTCATTGGACAAACCCAGGCGTTGGGGGTTAACCGATTGAGATGACTGGAAGATGCATCGCCTGTGCTCACCCACTCTACCAGCTTGCTTGCTGTGTTTTAGCAGCCGGCGCTGCGCTCGTTGTTGTGAGCGTTGCTCTTCTGTCCTCTGTTGTTGGGAGGGCGACTGCCTCCAAACTGCCCAGTAGCGTCCTTCACGAGCCTCCTCCATAGAGGCCGATCTCAACACCAGTGGTTAGCAGTAGTTGGCAAGTAGCACTCGGTTCCAAATCTTCCTATACAACACCAGCCCATCTCTTCTCCCACGTCCGTTTAGCATCATCTATCCGGCCAAACAGAAGCTTCCTGGGCATGTGGGCTACATGACAAAGCCAACGCATCCTTGCCTGCTTCTCGAACTATTGCGTTCACTGATGTTACGTCAGATCCCACCGGTGAGAACATAGGCCGAGAACCCTTGCATGGTTTTACCAGTTGGGATTTCCACCTGGCACAGATCCAATGAGGGAGTGATTGGATGCACGGGCGAGGTCTCGGGATGACTCCAGATCCAATGGGGGAATGATTGGATGCACGGGCGAGGTCTCGGGATGACTCCCGACTGGTCAAACATGTTACGTATGCTGATCTGGTAATTGCTGCTCACTCTGAGGAGTCACGGAGCCTGCTGCTGTACCTGGAGCCTGCCATTTAGAGATGGGGGCACTTACTAACAGCCCCACCGAAACAAAGCACTTGTCAGGGTACATTGTGTCATTCAACATTGTACCCCTTCAGTTCCATTAGTGATGGGCAGTTGTGGATTGGGTGGAGGAGACCCCATGCCTGGGCAGTGTGCTTATGAGAAGCTCTGATTTGGGCAGCGGAGGCCTACTTTAGAAACGGGCATGTAGCGCACTATCGTGTTTATCAGTTGTGTAAACGCCGCAGCGTGGAAGCTACCTGGCCGATCGCAGCACACGAAGAAGCTCAAGTTCTTCTCGGCCACGGTTATGTCATTTCGATTGTACGCTTGCGAAACATGGGACCCCCTTTAAAGAAGCACCTACGATGGCTTGTAACATTCGGGCTGAACCGACCACGACTCATGCCGTGGGTTTTTAACCAGATTGGATTGTGTGAGCTGCTCGCATATCTTTGTACTACAGCGACACATTTGTACACACACACACGCACACACTTGTACCTCGATAAACTTTTCCGATGTGTTCTCATGACATTGCACCGAGAGTTGTTTTGGAATGATGTCCTGCATTTCGCTCCACGTATGTATGCACGTATGTCTGTTGAACTTCTTTCGCACCACCGTATGTAGCCAACCCTGCTAATCAAGAGGTGTGATTAGCGCGGTTAGGTACGCACATGCTTCCAACGCCTGGAGCGAAGGAACATCGGACATCACGAGACATCGGTGGGCACTTTTCCGGTCTGAATCATGGGCGGCTGTGGACGTGGCAAGCAAAAAAACACCGTTGAGGACCTGGCTGCGGAAGTAGCGAGCTTTGCTTTTTCACGACAACCGCGGACCTCGATAAGCCGCGCTCGAACGCAACATGGGAGATGCGCGTCCACCTTCCGCAAAATTGATGGTCAAATAATCGCTGAACTGCGGCTGCGGTGAAGTCAAAACCATGAAACGCGTCATCGACGGATGTGCCAACAGTGCTACAGCCTGGCGGTGTCACTGCGATCCGTACACCGTCCATACTGCCTTCTTGGATTGGTAAAAAAAAATTCCAGCTGTAATGCGTTTCACCGTTGTTTCTCTCCCCTGCTGCCGCACGACAGTGAGCACTTAGTTCGGGATGCAGGCGAGGATGCGTTGGCCAGGCCATGTATCGTGCGTGGCCATTCTGAATGGTTCAGTTCCTGAAGAAGCCATCCAGTTCGGGAAAGTAACAAAAAAAATTCAACACTTTAGTCAATAACACAAATGAATGATTTGCATTTGACCAATGTGTTGAGTTTTTGTGCGAATTGTGCTTGTGCAGCACTGCTGCCAATGCAGCGTCACCATATCAAGTGATATCCAGGAATTTAAGAGTTTGGTTCCTAAAAACGCTCCAAGCATGTCGAGTGAAACGTCGGATATCGTGCCGAACAGCACGTGGGATCAACCTCGAAGCCGTGTCGGGAGACCCACGCAGTCGTACCACACGTTCACCACGTGTTCTCACAACTTCGTGTTACCTTCAAATATTTCTGATTTTTTTTTGTTAGGGCCTCAACTGAAAAGAGAGCCCTTTCATCGTTACAGTGCACATATTTATTCCTGTGTTTGACGATCACCGAATGTAGTTTTGAGTTGTTCCGTGGGGTAAAAAAAAGGCTTAAGCGAGGACGTTATCCCAGCTGTTCGGTGCAGCAGCTGATTATTTTGCTGCCTTTAAAAAAAAATTACCGAGTAGCTTTTTTTTGCAGCAGCTGAGCCCGCGCGCTCTGGGCCGTGTAGCGGCAACGCGCGTGCGACGCGTTCCCAATTCAGCAGTTCACTCGGCCACTGCATAGCTGCAACGTTCTTGGGGAAAACTGCCTGCACCATGCACGGATGCCAACCCGTCCAAGGTGACGCATTATGTGGTGACGCAGCGGTTGGTGTTGCTGCTGCTGCTGCGTTGGCAGTGGTGCACAATTAACAAACTCTACGCATTCGTCAACGGCCCTTGCACATGGCACGGCGTTTGTGCTCCGGAAAAGGCCTGTGTGTGTTTGCTATCAAGGCCACAACGACGCAACGGCCACCTCTTGGGCGTGCGTGCTTGAAGTGACCGACGTGTCCGAAGCAGCCGTCGGGGGGGAGTTCGCGGGCCCTTATCTATCCCGCGATTTCATTTCACACCACCCCGTGGCCGCGCGGGGTCAACCACTTTCGAAGCGGCCCGCGAACGACGTTTGTATCCGTCTCTGCGATCGACTTTGGCGGCACTAATCGGGTACTCGAGGGGGGGTGGGGGATACTGCCGGCCTGGCAACGGTGTCTCTATTTTTGTTGTGCGTCTCGGGCACTATTGTCACCCAACGGGATCCTCATTGCAAATCACAGAAGGGACTTTATGTTATCGTTGGTCAATTATGGTTCGCGTGGTTTCATGCCGGTTTTCAGTTGTTTTTTTTTCGTGTGTCTCCCCTGTTTAACTTGTTTCGCAAAAATAAAACTGCACGCACTTGATTTGAATCGCTAATTAAAGAGAATGGTCAAATTTATCCGTGTGTGTGCGCGCTTGAGTGTATGTACGCGTGTGTGTGTGTACCGTGCCGGTCTTCATAGATGCTCGCTAACAGCACTTGCCCCAACAGACTTTAGCCTATACGGGGGGGGGGTCTTTGTATTTATATGTAGAGTGGGGAGCGGTAGTGCAGTGGTGAGCCCGCTACCCGGTGACCCGAGTTCAATTCCCGCTCACAGCCAATATCGGGTGGCATATCTGAACCAATTTTGGGCTTCCCCAAGGTCGACTCGGCCTCAAATGAGCACAGCACCTGGTGCTTTGCATAAACATTGGGGAGAGAAAAGTTGCCGGGAGTGGTACCCGCCTCTTAATTTACCGGCCACCTCGTGTGCCGTGCCGACTTTAATCGGGTGCAGCACTTGCCCCAACAGTCTGTTCAAGGCTATACGCGGGATCTTTGTTTTGTGTATGTAATACACGAGCGTGTGTACATGCGCGTCT